AAAATGGGCAGGAAAAGGCGGGAGGAAGCATGTAAAGGAAAACGAGGCACAGAAGGAGGAAAAAAAGCAGAAACAGTGATGTGCAGAAGAGGCAGGAAATATGATAGCGGGGTATTTTTCAAAAGAAGTGAACACTGAAACGAGGATGGGAATTATATAACAAATAGGTACCTTGGTTTCAAAATACTAATAACTTGTTTTTAAAAAGGGAAGAGGGGAAAGGAACAGCTGTGGATGGAGTAAAAAATTTGAAAAGAAATATTTCGGTCCATTGAGTTGCATGCATTCCTATTCATTACCACAGCCCGGGATTATTTACGGAGTCCTCGTTAAGTAAGTAAGTAATTGAGTAAACGAATAAGCAAGTAGGTAAGTATTTGTGAATAATACACTAAAAATATGAAAAGGAATGTTTCGGTCCACTAACTAGTATACATTTCTTTCCAGCACCACAACTGAAAGCCATTTACGGAAGTCTCATTAAGTGAATTTATAAAAGGGTGATTAAACAAGTGTTTAGGAATATTAAGTAAATTTGTAAGTTTTTTTGTAAACTGCAGTAAGTGAATTTGTAAACCGCACGCAAAATTGAAAGAGTGCAGTGCAAAGAAACAACACATACAGCGTCGATGTCGAGAATCGCAACATTCGCGCCCAGCTTCACAGAAAATATTTCAGCCAGCCGTTGACCAATACCAGAAGCAGCCCCAGTTATGACAACCGTTTGGCCTCTTACAGATTTGAGACGGGAATTGATCCAATTCAAGAAATCCAGAGGACCGGCTACGAAGAAAACATGCAGTAGTGCTCCAATTGTGCTGTAGATTCGGTCGATTCGGGACACTTTTGTCATGGTCAAGAGAAGTGCGGAAAGCCGGTTGTTTGGCACTTACTTGGGCAGCCTTAGAGAAAAAGGCTAACTCACTAAAGTGGTTTTGAGGTACAAGCTGGTTCACCGCGAGATACTCCTACTGTTTCACTGTGGGAATTGGAGGCAACCGGAAGATACTGGTGTCGAAGGGTTGCTAAATTCCAAACAGCAACAGCACTATTGTCCGAGAATGAGCTCACTCGGACGATGGGCAGTTGCAAATAAGAAGTGCATCAAGATGTCACGAATTTATCACAATCCCCTCTTCCGATCCGTGCCCATTTATTCTTCAGCCGCTCCACCCAGCCCGCATAAACGATCGCAGAACAATATAATTGTCAGGGGCACCCCGCCATCAGCATCAAAGGAATAAAACCAGGACAACAGCATGCATATGCGCGTTTTTCAAATTTCATGCCCCGCTGCTTTGGATGAATAAATTTTCTGTGTCAAAAACGTTGTGAAGTCAAAAATCCGTATAAATTAAATTCCGTGTGAGAAACGAATGATGGCCGAGTGGTCACAGATGTAATAGCAACTACCTATTGGCAAAGATATTGATGGTCACCTCTTACAAATGCTGCTCACAAGCAATCTGATGACGAATTTGACTTATTGGCATGCGCCAGTACAAAAGATCAAAAACATCCTTGAGTTGGTACCACTACTCGTTTTCGATATCTTAGTAAGCTATTCAGATTATTTTTTTTCGGGATTATTCCGGACAATAAATGCGGTAAACTGTTTTGTTCACTAAGTACCGGCAGCTGGTGTTACTTCTT